TATAAGAGCTTCTAGATTTGCAATTATTTAATAAAAAATTATTTAAAAAAAAATTATACAGTCAATTGGATCGTCGTGCATTGTGATGACGAGACGCACAGCTCAGCGACCGTGCGTCAGTGTCTCAACGATGGAAGGCGCCGCCTCCGGTGGCCGGGCCACCCCCGCACGTATGACCACCATGTCGCGGCATTACTTCAGCGGCAGCGTGTCCGAGCACTACCACGACCTCCGTGTCGATATCATCGAAATACAAACGTGTTCACAACTTAATTGAACTGTCTAAATGCACCTAACATGAGGATACACACTGTCACGATTACAAGAGGCTAGGACAACACGCTCTATTGCGGCGACAGGCACAGTTCAGTTCAGATCATGGAATTCGGGGGTGGCTCCAGTGACCGGGCCGCTACCACGGGTATGACCAGGCCCGGCCCTAGATGCGGGCAAGCGGGGCGGCCGCCCTAGGCCCCCAACTAGGTAGGTCCCCACCCCAAGTATGCAAACACCACGTATATTAGTATTTGGCCCAGTACTGAACGTTGCCGGCCTGCAAGTCCTGGCGTCCGCGAGAAGGATGGTGTCCGTATTAAAAAAACAGAAAGAAAGAACTAGCGTCCGCGAGAAGCCACACGAACACGCCAACACGTGACTCGACTCCTCGACTCCTCTTCCATGGCGGCGACGCGGTCTGCGGTCACGCGGACCAGTGGGCGGACGCGACACGGGTGGTGGCGGCGGCGACTTGCGGCGTGAGACGCGAGGGCGCTGGGCGCTATTGCGCGCTTGTACACGGCGGCGGCGGCGAGACCACAGAGACGCTGGACTTGACGCCATGCGCGCGCGCGCGCTGCGATCTCCATAGGACTTACCGTGACCCTTTCTTAGACGTGTATTTATGAATCGACGATCGGCGGTGAGCCACACGCCCACACTGAGCCAACAACACGAGTAGATGAGATACTTTTTTTAGCTAATTGTTTCTCTAAATCTTAACAGCATCATGTCATCAAGAAAGTATGCTTCTGGCAGTGAGAAAAGGAAAAAGGAAGCACGAATAGATGAGTTCCTACATTCGCAGAGGGGTTCTATGCATAAGTTTTTGAAGAATAATCCAAACACTTCAAGAGATCCAAACGAGTTGGCAATAGTTGTCTGGTAGGAACCAACACAGATTATTCCACAAGATGAAGGTCCTCCTAATGACAATGTTGGCATTAACATGGAAGAAAACAATGTGAGTACTGATGAGCACATATTTAATTCAAATACTACAGAAAATAGTAGTCTTGATGAGGAACCGGTGTGTCACATGGATATTTATGATCCAAAAAATTGGGTTAATCTTGATAACAAAGCAAGGGATATATTAGTTGAAAAGGGGCCTATAAGAGAAGATAATATTGTATTCCCTTTCGACAATAATTTAAGGCATTTTGCATATTCTCATTATCATAGAAAAATGAGTAATGGAGAGCTACGTGATAGGAAATGGCTAGTTTATTCCAAACACTTGGATAAAGTATTTTGCTTTTACTGTAAGCTTTTTAATTCTAAAAAGTGCAAGAGTTCATTGGGGAATGATGGGTATAGAGACCGAAAACATATCAATGAGAGGTTGAAGGAACATGAAATTACTGTTGAGCATATTACCAATATGAACTCATGGAATGAATTGAGAACTAGATTAGGCAAACAAGAGACAATTGATAAAGAGTTACGGCAGCAAATCTCTAAGAAGAAAGAGCACATAAGGCAAGTACTGATGATAATAATTGCCATTGTAAAATTCCTTGGTAGACGTAATTTGGCTTTTAGAGGATCTAATGAGCAGCTTTATAATGACCAAAATGGTAATTTCTTAGCTTGTGTTGAGATGGTCGCAGAGTTTGATTTGGTAATGCAAGACCATCTTAGACGTATTCAAAATAATGATTTTTATTATCATTATCTTAGCCACAAAATTCAGAATGAGTTGATTTCTCTTATGGCTTCTGACATTACAAATTCTATCATCAAGATTGTTAAAGAGGTCAAATATTTCTCAGTTATTTTTGATTGCATCCCAGATGTTAGTCATCAAGAACAAATGACTTTGTTGGTTCGATGTGTTAACATGAGTGAAGGTAAAATTAAAATAGAGGTGTATTTTCTTGGTTTCCTAAAGGTAGATGACACATCTGGTTCTGTGCTCTTCAATGTTTTGGTTGATTCCATTAAGTCCTTTGGTCTTAATATTGATGACATTAGGGGATAAGGTTATGATAATGGTTCTAATATGAAAGGAAAACACAAGGGGGTTCAAAGTTGATTGCGTGATATAAATCCAAGAGCTTTGTATATGCCATGTGCTTGCCACAGTCTTAATCTTACTCTTTGTGATATGGCTAAGTCTTGTAGCAAAGCTGACTCCTTTTTTGGAATTGTGCAACTAATATATGTCTTATTTGCTGGTTCTACTAAAAGATGGAAATTTTTGCTTGATCATGTTGATGGTTTAACTGTGAAATCTTTGTGCAACACACGTTGGGAAAGTCGTATTAAGAGTGTTGCAGCAATTAGATATCAAGCTCCTCAGCTAAGGGCAGCTTTACTTGCATTGAGTGAAGATAGAGATGTAGAACCAAAGGATAGAAGTGATGCAGATAATTTATCTGAAGTACTTGGCAGCTTTGAATTTATATTTGGCATGGTTATTTGGCATGATGTTTTATTTGCTGTCAATAAAGTAAGCAAGAAGTTGCAGTTACCATCTATGTGCATTGAGTCTACCATGCAACAGATACAAGGCATAATGGATTACTTTAAAACCTATAGAAATGATGGGTATGCTTCTAGTAAGGTCAATGCAACGGAAATTGCATCTGAAATTGGTGTCGAGCCATCGTTCCCAGTAAAGCGCCGTGCTCTTAGAAAGAAACATTTTGATGAAAATAATAGTGAGGAAGCACTCTTGGAAGGTGAGAAGGAATTTAAAGTTAGTTACTTCACGATTATAATTGATATGGCAGTCCGTTCATTGGAGACTAGATTTCAAGAATTGGAATCATTCAGAGAATTATTTGGATTTTTAATGAGTTCAGCAAACTTGAAGGCATTGGATGGTCCTGAGCTAAAAGTGTGTTGCACAACACTAGCAGCAGTTTTCTCTCTAAATGGTTCATCTGACATTGATTTAAATGATCTAATTTTTGAGTTGAGTGTTCTACAATTCACTTTGCCGGATACACCAATAACAGCTATGGAGATTTTTGAGTTTGTTACACAGGCTGATTGTTATCCTAATACTTCCATTGCTTATCGGATCTTGTTTACTATGCTTGTGACTGTGGCATCAGCTGAAAGAAGCTTCTCAAAACTAAAATTGTTGAAGAACTATTTGAGATCTATAATGTCTCAAGAGAGGTTAAATGGTTTGGCAACATTATGCATTGAGAAACGATTGTTGGATGAGATCGATATTGATACCATCATCAATGACTTCGCATCGAGGAATGTTAGAAGGAATTATTAAGGTAATTTAATATAGGAATTTTTAAGATAATTTAATATTTATGAATTGTTTCATATCAATATTACTATTGCATCCGCAGTTAAGTGTTTATATATATGCATTTACACTAAGTACTATCAATGTTATGTATGTATAAAGGGCCTCGGATTGTAGTTTCGCCCTGGGCCTCAAAAAATCAGGGCCGGCCCTGCGTATGACCACCGTATCGCGGCACTACTTCGGAGGCAGTGCGTCCGAGCGCCACCACGACCTCCGGGTCGACATCATCGTGGTACCGCAGCCTGCCATCTCGTCCCTCTCCAGCCTCCACGCTCGCGTCGCATAGCTAGCAGAGAGCGACTGCTCTGCTCATATCTCATATGCTGGTAAGGATGAAAACGGTCGAACTCAGTCGAAAAACTTCTCAACCGTTTTCTACTTTTACATTTGAAATACGAAAGCGAAAGCGAAAGCGAACAAGCCGGACACGAAAACGAACACGAACTTACGGAATATCTAGAATTTCGGAAACGAACCAATTTGAGCGGAATTATGCTGCTAACACGGTTGCTGCCTCGAAAATTCAATATGAAATACCGAGCCACGTGGCATAGCATTAAACAAGTGCACGACCAAATACATAACAAGTTCACAACTAACAAGTGTCATGATCTAGTTCAAGTGCATAGCATTAAACAAGTGCACGACCAAATACATAATAAGAGAGAGGACTACGGCATATTTGTCTGGCCATGCAGTGTCATTCTTGCAGAGTAAAGAACACAGCAGAGATCACGGTGGTGAGTCTGCTTCCAGAGTTGGGATGTATGACTACTACTACTTTGGCATCTATGTGTTTGTTCAATTTTGAATTCGAATATTTCAAATTAAAAGTAGAAAAGTAGAAAACGGTTGAAAATTGTAAACCAAGTTTTCTACTTTTACATTTGAAATAGTTCATCTCAAATCACTGAAAAACTTCGCTAAATACTTGCTCAAGAAAATCCCAAGGCCGATCAGATTAAATATAGAAAACGATCTGAGGCTGAAAAATTCGGAATATTTCGGTTCCGTTTTCATCCTTATATGCTGGGGCCTGGGGCCGAGCGTTTCGTCCGGACTGTCCTTACGGCGTCTTTAAACCTCGATCGCGTATCATTTGCAGCTTGGTGCTGGAACCTCACTGCCGGGATTAGTAGCTGCAAAGGTTGGAGCAGATGTAACACTAACAGACATTGCACAGAATACAGAAGTGAGTTCCAATTCCAATCCATCTTAGGAATCCTTATCAGATCTTCAGTATGGTTAATTTCCTCCTTGTTTTTACTGACTATAGGTACTAAACAACATCAGAAGCATATGTGCTCTCAATAACGCCAGTTGTACTGTATGGTTTGATTTCACGTACAGAGATTTACATGCTGCATCCCATCGAATTCAGAGAGCTTATCTTCGCAAAAAAAAAAAAAAAAAAAATTAGAGGGCTTAGGATTAATCCATAACCATGCAGGTTTCAGGACTTACATGGGGAAACTGGGATGAAACGGTATTTGATTTACGTCCTGACATTATTCTTGGAGCTGATGTACTTTACGACTCAGCAAGTGAGCTACCATTCTACTCTACCGTGTTCAGTCTATTACTGTTATTTCTTAAATGTGGATGGTCCTTTCGTGTCCCATCCATTCATTGACTACGTACCTATTTTTCCATTCGTATTGTCATCGTTTCGGCTGACTGACATACCACTGCATCTATTTTGGGAAGATTTTGATGATCTGTTCGCGACGGTGACCTTTCTTCTCGAAAATTCTTCTGGGGCAGTTTTCATAACCACATACCACAACCGCAGGTACCAACGAATCATTGCATCCCTGTTTCGCTTGGAAGAAGTGTGGCAAGCAACATTTCTGATAAATCAGTTGCATTTCTCTACGCAGTGGTCATCATCTGATTGAGTTTTTGATGGTCAAGTGGGGCTTGAAGTGTTTGAAACTGCTGGATGGTTTCTCCTTCCTGCCACCATGCAAGGCTGCTTCACTTCAGGGGAACATTCAGCTTGTTGAAATCGCGCTTGACAAGGAAAAACATAAATGACCCTGGGGTGAGGTAACTTATTTCGTGGATCAGAAAATCTGCAAGCATATGCGATTCAGAATGGCTCATGTTTCATGGGTTACAAGTTTTACAGGAGTTGACGAAAAGCGCACAGAAATAAATGTCATATTTGGTCCTCTGCATACATGTTGGAGCGAGCGACTACATGCCAATTCATCCATTTGGACTGTCATCACAAGGATTTTCTTTTTAATTAAAAAAGTCATCGGGAGCATTATTGTACTATGAATAGCTTATGCATGCAAGGAAAAAAAAAGAAAATGTTAGCAGATATGTACTATTTCGTTCTAACAGTAAAAAAAATGTAGATTGCCTAAAAAACGTGCAGAGATGTCATCTGTTGATTCATGTGTTCGATGAGCTAAACACATATTATTGCAGTACGAGATTTTATCACTTTTTTTTTCGAAACCCTCTTTTATGTTATTTTTTGCAAGAATTCCTTTTTTTTTAATGATGAAACCTTACAGGCTAAGTGAACAATATTGTTTTTTTTTTGAAGTTTTCACCATTTACTGTTGTTAGTGCATACCATTTCCAGCGTTTTCTCTCTTGCACAAGAACAGAAGGAAAATAGATGTTATGGAATTGCTAGAAATCAAACACATAATAAAAGGCGCCTGTAGCTCAGTGGATAGAGCGTCTGTTTCCTAAGCAGAAGGTCGTAGGTTCGACCCCTACCTATTATCACAAGAGCTTGTTTAGAAAACCATACCAGGGCTAAGACATGTTTTTTACTGTCCCATATTTTTTTTTGTGCAGCAATCTTTTTACTGTCATCACCTGCTATTATCACAAGGGCTTGTTTAGAAAACCATCCCTGGGCCCTGGCATACCCGGGCTAAGACATAGGAGGAGGGGAATAGAGAAAATTAGATTACACAGACAAACATCCGAGCAATGTGACCACACAAGGGCCAGACTGTGTAACAAGGCAATAAACTCACCACCGCTTATATCCTTCACTGGAATTGATTCCATGCCGATTGTTGAGTATGGCTCACTGGCTCTGGTTATGTAGATCTGCTAGGACCCTTACACACTCCAGGTGCTTGACGAATTGGGCCTGGTTTAGTTCTTTTTTTGTGTGCGTGAAAATCCTGATGGCCACAAGCAATCTGTTTATAAAGCAGCAATTTTTTTTTTGCATCACTACTAGAGAACTTTAGAACGATGTCCCAATTTGACTTTAGCCTCGGACATTTTTGCTCCCGAGACTAGAGAGGTCTTTAGTCCCGGTTGGTGTCTTTACTCCCGGTTGGAGCCACCAACCGGGACTAAAAGTGGACCTTTACTCCCGGTTGGAGCCACCAACCGGGACTAAAAGTCCTCCAACCTTTAGTCCCGGTTGGTAATACCAACCCAGACTAAAGTTAGACCCTTTAGTCCCGGTTGGTAACACCAACCCGGACTAAAGGACCCCCGATGGGTTAGTTCAAAAGGAAAGCATCACATCCATTGTTAGATGTGTTGTGTAGGTGGGGTGGTAAGCTACGCGCGAGGCAGTGCATGAGGTCTTAGGTTCGAATCTCACGGAGCGCAGCGGTGGGAGGCATTATTTTTTTTAAGCTGAGGGGATCTTTAGTCCCGGTTGTGGCAAACCGGGACTAAAGAACAACACCTTTAGTCCCGGATTGCTAGTCCCGGTTGGGAAACCGGGAGTAGAGCTAGTTCTCAACCGGGACTAGATCTTTTTTCTGTAGTAGTGCATATGGCAACCTCCGATTGAATTCTTCCTTATTCATTATTTGTCCTACATACTCATTTTAATCTGGTACCTTCCTTGCCATCTATCCATGTGTACTTATCTGCTATGGCCCCGTTGAAAGGTCATTAGTTTAGTTTTAGTAATTGAGTGACAATCTAGATGTACTAATATGTGTTTTATATGAGATACATGGGTGATTAGTCCATAGGTACACTTGTGTGAGCAATCCATGCCATGGAGGTAAAAATGTCTTGGATATGTTGCAAAACTCACACATGTGATGAAGGAGCTCATTGCATATGAGACATGACATGGAGTCATGTGACTAGGTGGCGAAGATCAAGATGAGGCTTGGCTTGATGGACCGGTTGCAAGCATGAAAGGTAAGTAAGAGGTTTTGAAGCGATAAACCGTGTGGTAGGGAAACTTGAGCAAAGACTTGGCGCCGATGGACCGAAGCAACGGCAAAGAGCAAGTGAGGTCAAGATCGATGAACCAATAAGGTCACGTGATGATATGAAGTGTATCATATATGTTGATCAAGATTGGTGCATGTGTTGCATCAACATTGGAGGAGATGGAATGGAATGTGCAAGGCAAAGGTATAACCTATAGGGCATTTCATTTCACAGGTCAAAGATTGTGTAGAGAAGTGCATGACCAGGTTTAGGATAGATGGTCGTACTATTAAGAGGGGCAAACTTGATTGCATATCGGTCATCTAGTGCCACTTGAGCGATCTAACTTTGCATACGCATTAAGATCGAGTGGCGTGGTGAAAAAAGAACTAATCTTTGAAAATATTTGTGAAACTGCTAACACACAAGCACATGATGTTGTACACTTGGTGGTGTTAGCACATTTGCAAAGAAGAAGTTGGAGTTGAAAAGGAGAAGATCAGGGCGACCAGACCCCGGGGCGTGGGCAGACCAGACTCTATTGCAAGAGTCCGGTAGCAAACCCTAGGGTGGCGTGGCTCTGAGAAGCTCCGGACCTAGGCGACCGGACCCTGGCACGTGTGGTGACCGTTGGAGTCCAACGGTTGGCTTCGAACCTAGCTGACATGTGGTGAAATACTGGTGACTGGACCCTGCTATGGTAGAGTCCGGTCGATTCCTGTGAGTCCGGTCCGGACCCCCCGTGACAGTTTTTGAGCAACGGCTCTTTTGAGCCTTTGGGCTATAAATAGATGGGGTGTTCGGCCATGGCTGAGGTTGAGCACCTTGGGGGACTTAGTGTCCATGCTTGAGAGTGCTTGGGAGCCCTCTAACTCACTTACTTGCAAGAGTGTGAATCGATTGCAAGTGAGTGATTCTAGTGCGATTGCATTGAGAGATTGCGTCGAGTGGTACTAGGTGACCGAGTTGTAAACCAATGGTGCTTGTTACTCTTGGAGGTTGACACCTCCTAGACGGCTTGGTGGTGGTCTCCGTCGAAGGATGCAAAGAAGATTGTGTGGTGCTCTAAAGAATTGATTGTGAGGGGTATTGTGCTCATCCCGCTGGAGTCGTGAAGAGCAACTCTAGTAGAGCATGTCATTGAGTGCCCTCATCTTGTGGAGGTTCTTACAGTGCCCTATTGTAGGGATAGGCGTGGTGCCTATAAGCATGTGAACTTCCAAGTGAACCGGCCGACATTGCATGGACTAGCTTGTTGGCAAACAAGCGAACCTTAGGATAAAAATCATCATGTCAACCTTGTCTTTCCATTGGTCTGCAGTCCCTTTTCACAAGCTTGTATTTACTTTCATATATATTGTGCTTGTGTAGTTGCTCTTGTAATTAGTTAGCTTGTGTAACTTGCTAGTTACCTCTCTTGCTTGTGTAGCATAGAAGTAGCTTCCTTGCGTAACTAATTGGCTTGAGTAGTCTTGTTAGTTATATTGCTTAGTTTGTACAACTAAGTAATTTGAACTCTCTAATTTAATTGGCTTGAGTAGCCTTGTTATTGAGCATTGCTAGTGAGTTTAGGCTTTGTGCTTTTGCAAACTAGTTTATGTAGGAGCTCCCGGTTGCTTGAGTACTAGTTACATAGGTTTGTGTAACCTTGCTTTTAGAATTGATTAGGTGATCTCTAACTAGCCCAGCACCTTTATTGCCTAAATTAGGATCTTTGTAAGGTGCTAGAGAGCTGAGATAGAGGGGTGTTGTCTTGGCTAGACCGATAGTTTTAATTTCGTATTTATTTCGATTAGCCGATGCGATTAATTCTTAGAAAGGATTATTCACCCCCCTCTAGTCCACCATCTTGACCCTACAAGTGGTATCAGAGCTAGGTCTCTTATTTATGGTCTTCATATACCCGAAAGGATAGTGAACTTCAGGCTAGATGTTGATTGCAACACACATTTTAATGGCACAAACTATGCACGGTGGAAACACCATATGCTTGATTATTTTCGTGAGATGGGTCCTAAGGTGTGGTGGATCATTATTGTTGGTTTTACTCGTGATGCTTTGGATGAGAGTAATCTAACCCAAGCACAAGAGGATTGCTTACAACTTGATGCACATACTCTTTATTATCTAATGTGTGCTTTGCATGAAGATGTTTTAGACATGTGTGGGATATGGAGAGTGCCCATGATATGTGGGCAGCACTCCAAGATCTCTTCGGTGACTCCTCCATGTGGGATATGGAGAGAGCGCATGAGGATGTTGAGCATAGCCACAACTCGGTGATTGTGAAAGATTGCTCCACCTCATGGTCAAGTGATGATGATGATGATTCTACCACAAGTTCACTTGACAAGGTTGATGATGATGGCTCAAGTAATGCAAATGATGATCCTATTTCATGCACACTTGATGATGATGATGATGGCTATGAGAGTGATGTCTCTACAAGCTCTCCGACATCACCACATTGCTTCATGTCACACGGTGACACTAAGGTATCTAATGATAATGTGGTTGATCATGATTCATGTGTTGAGCTTGTTAGTAGACTCTCTAGAGCTTTAGAAAATGAGATGGCTAAAACAAAGAAATTGAAAAATGAAAACTCATTTCTAAAGAACACATGTGAACAACAAAAGCATCTACTTTATATTACTACTTGTTCACATGAGGAGCTAAAATTGACTCATGAGGAACTTAGTGTTGCTCATGATAACTTGGTACAAGACCATGTTTTCTCACTAAAGAGCTTTACAATGGAAAAAATAAAACTAGTGAGAGCTCATCACATGGATCAAATGATCAATCACATAATGATGCTAACCCTTGTTATATAGGTAAGAAGAATGTATCCACCTCTTGTGATGATTTAT